ATCCAGGGCTGGCTAGAGAGAGGGTCAGGACCTGTGAGTTTTTCCCAGCATGTTATTTTGATCTAGATATTTAGGTTTTGAATTACCTGGTCTCCCCACTCCCTGACCCCACCCCATACTGTAATAAAGGATGGACTGTAAACATCAATGCCTGCTCTTGCCCACCTGGCTCTGAGGAAAGGCCCAGGAAGCATTTCTAGCCAAGCCTTTCTAAAGAAAGGTTTAATAACTCAGCCATAAATACTTGTCATCGGCAGAAACGTAGCCGGGAGGGCTGCAGTCCTGGAGTAAATTATTCATTTATATCTCTCACTGACGTGCTTTAAATTGTTTTAACTGTATTTATCTTTTCTGATGGGTGGGAAAATAATGGCTTTATGGTTCATGACACTTTTGTCCTCCCATGAATCAACATAGCATGGGGATGAAAGTTGGAAAAAAAAAAAAATCAGCCAAAAAGTGGCTGCCTGAGACGAGGCAGTAATTCCTCTTTCTTTAAGAGAGGGGCTTGAGGGCTGACATTACTCAAGCTAGGATCTAGTAGCAGAATTTAGGAAAAAGTGAGCATTAGGAACTATTGACTGACTCCCTAAAGCTTCCACCACCGTTTTCCCTTTTGTTTCTGGTTTTAGTCACATAGGGCCCAGCAAGTTGTGTGGTTACACTAGCCCCGTCCAAGTATGGTTCACATTAATGCGGCCGAGGAGCGGGAGGCACAGAAGAGGTAAAAGGTCGGGTTACCTATGGACTGCCCTGGCAGGCCAGGGGTGAAGGCTCCATGCTTCCAATGCAGGGGGCACAGGTTTAATCCCTGCCTGGGGAGCCAAGATCTCACATGCTGCACTGCCTTGCCAAGAAATTTTTTAAAAAGAAAGAAAATTTTTTAAAAAGTAGGATTGGTTTTAGGCTGAGATATCTGGATTGTCATGCCTCTGGAGTGTGATTGAATCTCTACCACACTCTCATGCTTTTTGTTTTTACCCACCATTTCATCTCTAATGCCAAGTACACACTGAGCCTTAAAATACTACGTGTTAAAAAACGAGTAAGATGGATCTGAGTGCAACATTTACTAGAAGAGGTTAAAAAGAGCCAACATACTTCACATGAAAGAATGTGAAGAATCTGAAATTTGGATTTTGGGTTTTATAAGTGAACAGTGTGAAACAAATCACCATACTTTTCAGTGGTTTCTATTTAATTATCGTAATGTAGAGCTTAACAAAGAAAGCCATTATGATTCTTAAGGGTTTTGAGTACAGTTCTGCAGAGAAACTCTCTACGTCCTGCACTTTAAATATAGCCTAAAAACCGGCAGAGTATTCTGTTTTAAGCAGGCAGACCTCTAAGTTTTTCTACTGGTTTTTTTTTTTCTTCTGATTATTATCATTTAGTACATTTGGAAAATAGCAAGAAGCCTAAAGAAATAATTGCTTTTAATTCTATTCCCTGAAGCTCGTCACTTTAAAATTTTGGTATACTGTTGCCTGGCAGGGTTTTTTTCTCATAAGTTCTATCCTCGATTGAGATATCTTAGCATGTGCATTTGTGAATTCTGGCTTTGAAATTTTACTTAACTTTCTACCTAGAGTCAACAGTTTTCCATTTCATTGAAATTCTTTACACTCATCATTCTAATGTCCAGGCCCCGATTCTCAAAGAGGTGGCCCCAAACCAGCATCACACAGGACCTGCAAATTCTGGGGCCCGCCCAGACCTGTGTGGTCAGTTGCTTAGTCCTGTCCGACTCTTTGTGACCCCATAGACAGTAGCCCACCAGACTCTTCTGCCACCAGGTTCTTCTCTCCGTGGAATTTTCCAGGCAAGAATACTGTAGTGGGTTGCCTTTTCCTTCTCCAGGGGATCTTCCCAACCCAGGGATTGAACTGTAGTCGCCTGTGTCTCCTGCACTGACGGGAGGATTCTTTACCACTCGCACCGCCTGGGAAGCCCTCCTTGGCCTGTTGAGCCAAAAACTCCAGGGGACCGCTCAGCTATCTGCAGTTTAACAAGACCCCTAGTGAGGCTAGTTACATTTGAGACCCTCCGCTATGTAGTCTTGCTTTAATCTGCTTTCGGAAAATAAGGATTTTTTTTTTTTCTGTTATAAATGTTTCACAAAACTCTATGTTCACATTTCTGAACATTTCTGTAGAGAAAAAAATTAATCAAATGTGCAAGCAGCTCATGAAAGGATCGATGTACAGAGAATGCTTTCTTCCTAGAGGCTGATCGCAGTAGATTTCGCTCCCTAAATTGAACTTGAGGTCTCCATCTTGCCACTGGCTTCCTTTCATGCAAATTTAAGTGCTCTGGTTAATAAGTTATCCATATCCTTCTCATTGTCTTACTTAGTTTTCTCTTAATAACAAGGGTATGTTAAAGATGCTAACTGATTGTTTTGTTTTTGTATGTTGTCTGTGATAACTTTGACCTCCAGACACTTTTGATTTTGACCCAGTTGATCCTATGTATTTGCTTATTTGTATAAACTGGAAAGTCATTTCTCATTTCAGCAATTAAATAATTTATTTTTCTCATGTTTACATTTAAACATTTAGATCTCTGTAGTCCACCCAGATTGGTTTTCTTTTCTTTCTTTTTTTTTTTTTTAACTGTAATTAAGATCTAAATAATATTTCAAGAAGTAGGTAAATTATTTTACCAGAGTACTGTCAATGAATTTTTTGATCATAACTTTCATTTTTTTCTTTCACAATTGTTCATTTGACTTAACCTTAGCATCTACTATATTCAAATTATGTCAGCATAGCAATTGTGGTCCTTTTATAAGCCTGTGTTATAATGCAGAATAACTTCAGATATTTTGTTTACTTTTTAAAATGTGCCAAGAATGGAAAAATGTTAATTTCTTATTTGATTGGGAGAAAATTCCCTTGTTCCTTTTGCAGTGGTGATTCAATGTATTTTTGTTCTGAATAAATTTCACTTTCCTTCTCCCCATCACATCTGAACAAAGCCCCATGTTAGATGCTACATACGAGGTCTTTAAAGTGTTCATATATTTTTCTACCTTTATTCACCTTATAGGTTAAACAAATTTAAAAAGTAAAAATAATGTTTATTATGTGGTTTAGTCTCTCTTTGCAGTAAACCTTACCAAAGAATGAGTGGAGTATACTTTGAGCTCTTATCATGAAAAAAAATCTCAGCTAAATAGTGAGTCAGGAAGGAAGAAATCATCTGAATGAGAGATTGGGAAGACTGCTGTGAAAAGCATAGTTTTCAGGTTGCCATGGGATTCCAGACAGCCTGGGAATCAGGAAATTAAAGCTCAGTTTCAAGAGGACAGGCAGTTGTACTGGTCTCTGCCATAGCTGCCCGTTTTCTGCAGGAGGGGGGCCTGGAAAATTTGCCACCTGAAGAGAGATGGCAGTAAAGACAGCACCTCGGTTTCCATTCAGTCCCACTTCCTTCAACAACACATTCTGATGTCTTCTGAAAGGAGCTCTGTGGGTGACAGTGGGTGAGGTGCTGTGGGCAGGAGGACATCTGAAAGATGAGATGGTCTCTGATCTCACGGGATCTCGGTCCAGAGGGGAGCAAATATTGCTCATTTGAATATGCCTCATTAGACTCTTATCCCAACTCTGTGATGTAATTAGGAGTGTTGGCATCACTTGACAGTTGGAGGAAGGCTGGCAGAGAGGGTTAGGAATTTGCTGGAGGTCAAATAGCTAAATAGTGAAAGAATAAGTATGAGAATTTCAGATTTTCCCCGGATCGCTGGTCTGTCCAGTTAATACCTGAGTTGGAAAAGTAACATACTTTTCTTGATTATTTTTATCCTAAACTCTCATGAACTAGACAGTATTTCTTTTGTTGCTGTTGTTGTTGTTGAATGTCTTATGTGTTTCATGCTCTTGTAATTACTGAATGATTTTAAAAAGATTACATCTCTCTCCTCAAATAGAGAACAGATACTTTAATGATTAGAGATTTGTATTCTGTTTCTGTGATCTCTAAGCCTTGTTAATTCTTTTTTTTTTCCATTTATTTTTATTCTTTGGAGGCTAATTACTTTACAATATTGTAGTGGTTTTTGCCATACATTGACATGAATCAGCCATGGATTTACATGTGTTCCCCATTCTGATCCCCCGTCCCGCCTCCCTCCCCATCCCATCCCTCTGGGTCTTCCCAGTGTACCAGGCCCGAGCACTTGTCTCATGCATCCCACCTGGGCTGGTGATCTGTTTCACCCTTGATAGTATACTTGTTTCAATGCTATTCTCTCAGAACATCCCACCCTCGCCTTCTCCCACAGAATCTAAAAGTCTGTTCTGTACATCTGTCTAGACAGTATTTCTTAAGCAAAATTCCACTTACAGATATCAAAGTTACATACTGTTGTGATGTACTTATTATTATCAGAACTAAGGAGTAATCTTCATTTTTTAAAAAAGATTTTTTTTTTAATGTGAACCATTTATAATGTCTTTATTGAATCTGTTACAATATTGCTTCTGTTTTATATCTTGGGTTTTTGGCTGTAAAGCATGTAGAATCTTAGTTCACTGACTAGGCATTGAACCAGCATCCCTTGTAGTGGAAGGCAAAGTCTTAATCATTAGATCACCAGGGAAGTTCCAGCAGTAATCTTCATTTACATACTAGTTTCATAGTTTTTTTTTCCTACTAATGATTTTGTGTTTCTGACTGGGAGTTCATTAGAATGAAATGCTACCTACCGTGAATAAATGCTTTCTATTCTTATTCTCCTTAAGGTGTCAAACCCACTATTAGATCAAGGAAGTAAGGAAAATCTGTTGAGGAGTCAGAGATATTTCGGAGACTCTGAAAGAAGTCTTTTCCCCCTACTCATCCTATGTTTTTTAAGTTGGATTCTTTGTTTTATATACATTGTTATCCTGTGATGATTAACATACCCTTTTAAAATTTTCCCAACTTCCTCTCTATTCTAGCTTTAGCTGAATTCCTAATTCCTCCTATAATTTGTTTATTTCTTTTCCTCTTAGGTGAAACCAATACCCAATACATCCTCTTTGTGGCTAGTGGGGCAGGTTTTCTGTTGCTGTTGGTTATCCTAATTACCACCATCACTGTCATTGCTTATAAGAGGTGAGTACTGCAGCTCCTCCTGAGTAATTCTGATGCTTGAGTTTCTCTGTAAATGGCCCAGTAGCTGGCCGAGCTGTCTTAGGACTTATGTACTGAGGCCACGTCCTTTGGATGCTGGTCTTAAAGGTAAAGGAGGAGCCGGGGCTGTGGGGATGTTAGAGGAGAAGGCTAGAGCAGTTCATCTCAGAATGAGGAGTGTGCCGTTCGCCCCCTCATCCACGGGTTCAACTGCCTGTCTGCAGCTGTATCTGTCTTCTTCCTCCTGCAAACACAAAAGGCTGGCAGGTGAGGGGGCAGGTGTGTGTGTGTGACAGAGGGGTCGGGGAGGGGTGGATTCTGAGGACAAGACCAGGGCTGAACTCTCATTACATGTGTGCTCAGTCGTGTCCAACTCTTTGCTATCCCAGGGACTGTAGCCCGCCAGGTTCCTCTGTCTATGGGATTCTCCAGGCAAGACTGGAGTAGGTTGCCATTTCCTCCTTCAGGGGATCTTCCTGACCCAGGGATCTATTCTGCATCTCTTGTGTCTCCAGCATTGGCAGGCAGGTTCTTTATCACTGTGCCACTTGGGAACCTCAACACCTTCATTTATTCATTCATCAAATATTCTGACCACGGTGAATGAGATATAATGGCATGCACATTCTAATAAGCAAACAATATGATTTTAAATGGTTATATAATGTCTGAAACAAGCAATAGAGGTGCCTTTATTACAGATTATTGAGAAGAAAGGAGTTGGGAGGGGCTACCCTAGAGAGAGCAGGGGGCCACCTGGCCTCTTCTAAAGTCTCCTACCTTTTATTGTCTGTGACACACTTGGGAATTTTCTAGGATGTTCTTGGTTGACCCTTCCCTCCTAGCTGCCCCACATTCATGGACTCACCAGTCTAGGTATTTGTTGCAATCTTATTTGTAGTCACATTGGGTTGGAATCATTCCTTATAACTCACGATTTTAACGAATGTGTTAATTTATTTGTTAAGTTATTTTTAATTGGATAATTGCTTTACCATGTTGTGCTGGTTTCTGCCATGAAACAACCTGAATCAGTTCCTTGTGTGTGTATTTAGTTCTGTTCAGTTGCTCAGTTGTGTCTGACTCTTTGCAACTCCATGGACTGCAGAATGCCCTCCCTGTCCATCACCAACTCCCGGAGCTTGCTCAAACTCATGTCCATTGAGTCGGTGATGCCATCCAANTGAGGTTATTGATAATTTCTCCTGGCAATCTTGATTCCAGCTTGTGCTTCATCCAGCCCAGTGTTTCTCATGATGCACTCTGCATATAAGTTAAATAAGCAGGGTGACAATATAGTCTTGACATACCCTTTTCCTGATTTGGAACCAGTCTGTTGTTCAATGTCCATTTCTAACTGTTGCTTCTTGACTGGCATACAGATTTCTCAGGAGGTGTGGGTCAGGTGGTCTGGTATTCCCATCACTTGAAGAATTTTCCATAGTTTGTTGTGATTCACACAGTCAAAGACTTTGGCATAGTCAGTAAAGTAGTAGATGTTTTTCTGGAACTCTCTTGCTTTTTCAATGATGATCCAGCGGATGTTGTCAGTGTATGTATATCCCCTCTCTTTCAGCTTCCCTCTCACTCCCCATCCCACCCCTTGTGTTAAAGTCTCAGGGAAAGAAGGAACCAAACTTTTGGTGTCCTCTTTTTGAAAGTCTGACACATTGTAGCCATTTATTATATGTTTGTTGAGTGAATGACTACATCCATCTCCATGCCTCTCCGCCAGTAATATTAATGTGCACACACACACACACACACACACACACACACACTCATGTGTGCTTATTGATAGGATCTCCCGTAGGTTTCTCCATCTTGTTGCCACATCCCCAGCCTCCAGCTCTCCAAAGGCGACCCTCACGGCTCACCTGCCTTCTGAGATCCCTCCAACTTGCTCGCCTGCTCCCCGGTGTCTCTCTCCTTCTAACTCATCTGATGTTTCCTGGTTCCTCTTCTAAAAGGTAGACTGGCCACCTTGTCTCCCTGTTTAAAGCCTGTTTACTGTGTTTCCACTGCCACCAGAATAAAGCTAAACTCATTGACCTGTGTCAAAGGGGCCCTTTGCTCAGCCTGATAATCTAACCTCAGTCTAATATGCAGGGGCTTCCCTGGTGGCTCAGATGGTAAAGCGTCTGCCTACAACACGGGAGACCAGGGTTCGATCCCTGGGTCAGGAAGATCCCCTGGAAGAGGAAATGGCAATCCACTCTAGTATTCTTGCCTGCAAAGTCCCATGGATGGAGGAGCCTTGTAGCCTGCAGTCCCTGGGGCTGCAAAGAGTTGGACACGCCTGAGCGACTTCACTTTCTTTCAATCTAATATTCATTTGTATTTTCTACTTTACTTACTCTCCTGATATTGACCAGTTGTATTAAAATACAACTTTTATTCTGTGAACACACCCAACTCTTCCCCTCTGTGAGGCCACCGAAATGCTGGTTCCCCCAGGTTCAGCTTCAGTCCTGCGGATGTCCTCGGTGTGGGGAGCGTGTCCCCTCTGGGGCTGCCCTGCGTTCTGCCTCCTGCAAGTGGGCGTGAGGTCACCACCCAGAGTCCCATAGCCTCTCACCCTCCGCACCCCACAGCCTGCTTTCTAGCTTAACCATTTCCTCCTCGCTTGTCTTCCCTGCTATGCATAATGGCAGGGGTTGTGTTTTATTCATGTCTTTGTGCTTGATGGCCTTTAGTGCTAATCTTTCCAAACAGTGGATGGTCCACAAGCATGTGTCTAATTAAGTTGAAACATGAAACCGTCGACATCCCTTTCTCTGCATCGCAGGCTGCCCTCCAGTCGATCCCTGGTCAGAAATGAGCAAATCGAGGTGAGGAACCCAGGTCGTTAGCGGCAGTGAGGGTTTCTCCCCTGTTCCACCTTGGTTGATAAAAAATGCGCCGAGGGCCGACGTGACAGCCGGAGCGCGTGGGAGCACGGGCACAGTGGAGAGAGCCTGAGCGACAGGCGGGTCTCGGGAGGGTCACAGGTGTCAGACAGGATGGATTTTGAGTCATGAGAATGCATCACTTTTACATGAATAGCTAAATGGGACAGTAGAATGTATTGTTCTACTTGGTTAAGTGTGATGAAAAGATTAGTGGACCTGAATGTACGATCATGGCCAAAACCACCAAGCAAAAATCGGGTGCTCTTTTCTATCCTGTCACTAGTATCAGTTTGTGGTTGTTGCTTAGAATAGAAACGCCTTGAAAAAGGACCCCAGGGTCTGAACCTTCTGGACTCTGTTTTAGCAAATATTTAAAATAATCCTGCCGCTTCAGCTTCAGATGCGCTGACCTGGAGAGAAGCCAAAATACATCACAGCGTGCCTGGAGGAAACGGAATCCTTCCTCCATGCCTGGCACACACCCAGAAGCCCCTGGGCACCAGGCACCCTTTCCTTCTCCAGGGGATCTTCCTGACACAGGGATCGAACCCACGTCTCCTGTATTGGCAGGCAGATTCTTTACTGCTGAGCCGCCAGGAAAGCCCATACAGTGCTCCATGTCAGCTGTATCTCAATAAAACTGGAAGAAAAAAAATCATGTTCTCTTTTCTTTCGTCACATTGTCTACACTAAGGCTTATGTTAAAATATATTTCTTTACACGTGTATACACACATATACATATTTGGACCTACTTGGAAAGTTAACTCTATATTATGATATAACAAGCCTTGTGATGATAATTTAACAATGAATCAAAGGTTATAGATCTGCATATATTTCCTCACTTGTGAAAAGAGTTTGATCCCTGAGTCAGGAAGAGCCGCTGGAGAAGGACTTGGCAACCCACTGCAGTATTCTTGCCTGGAGAATCCCATGGACAGAGGAGCCCGGCGGGCTATGGTCCATAAGGTTGCAAGAAGTGGAACACAACTGAAGGGACTCAGCAAGCAAAGCCATACAGATGGTTTAGTGAAATGCCTGAAGGCGTCTGTAAAGCTTAGTTCTTTTGTCATTGTCATCCAGGAAGTTACACTGTGGGCCTTTAAAAGGAACTTTTAATTGTGGGAAATGTCTGAGGTTATTTGGAGAAAGTTGTCAGTCATATATGTAATAACCCACTCCGCAGCATTCTTTAGTAAACTCCCTGAGATTAATTACTAAGCTACACTACTGGATATCCATTTAGTTTCCTTTGCCATTTGTGAGCACAATGGAGGATGTAGGAAAAATGGAAAAACTTAGGTCAATGGAATTTTGAGTGACTGCATATAAAGCAGCCATGAACAACTTCAGCATAATCAGCAAGGGCATGTGGGTATGTGCAGGTGAGGTATAGAGCATTTGAAATCATGAGAGTGCTGGGACTTACCTGGGGGTCCAGTGGTTAAGACTTCACCTTCCAATGCAGGGGGTACAGGTTTGGTCCCTGGGTCAGTGGCTGAGACCCACATGCCTTGTGGCAAAAAAAACAAAACTTAAAACAGAAGCGATATTGTACCACATTCATTAAAGACTTTAAAAATGGTCTACATCAAAAAAATCTTTGGAAAAAAAAGAAGAAATACTGCTAATGCTGACTTGTCATTCTTAATTTCTCCTTTGTACATGTGTTCCCAGAAGGAGAAGGCAACAGCAAAGAGGCCCATTTAAAGATTTCTGGATCACACAGAATAGGGTAAGTGTTCTCAGCATTGTCACCCACAGCTCCCCCCAGCGCCCCCCAACTCTTTCCTGCATCCTCTATTTTGCAGCTTGCAGGCTTCTTTTTTATTCTCAATAACCTAACCACACAGTCGCCTGTTGTTCAAGTCTCAGCTATTTGATGAAGCAGTTCTTTTCTGAACTAGTCTCCTATGATTAGTATCCTTGGACACTGTTTTACATCCATATAAATAAAGGAGCAATCACACTTAAAATAATAGTCAACATTGCATGCTCAGCTGCCGCCATCAGAGGCCTGTGACGACAAAATTCCCACAAAGTGGGTGACCAGAAACAAGAGAATCCTGTTCTCTCATGGTTCTGGAGGGTTGAAATCTAAAATCAAGGTCTCCGCAGGATCGGGTCCCTTTCGGCATGAGCCCGTGCTCTGTGCTTCTCTCTGGGTTCCCGTGGGTGTCAGCGATCCACAGCTTGTCGACACATTGCTCAAATCTCTTCCTCTGTCTTCACACAGCGTTCTTCCGCATGCACACGTGAATGTGTGTCTCTTCTCCGTTTCTTTTAAGGGCAACAGTCACATTGAACTAAGGGCCCATGGTTCTTCAGTATGACCTCATCTTAACCAGTGACAACTGAAGCAACCCTATTTCCACATAAGGTCACATTAATGAAGGTCTAGGAAGTACGTACATTTGGGGGAGGTGCGACCGAACCCAGACAAGGCAAGAAAAAAATTCCGGGGCATGAGGTTTTTGTGAGGGTTAAATTAAATTAAACTAATGCATAGCAAGCACATAGAAGGATGAAATACAGGATATTCGTTACTGTGATGATGTTTGGATTAATTGATTAATTAATTGGTGTCCAGATTATGAAGCTAGAGACCCTTCTGCTGGGCGGCAGGACTCGGGTTAACTGTGACATTGTTCCTGTCTTTCTACCTGCGCCTGCCCCTTCATGTTTAATTGGAAGAGGAGGAAATTTCCTTCTGGGTTTGCAGATAAGATGTATGCTTATTTTTCATGCTCACCCATTGTCTCCACTGTAGGTCAAATATTCCCTCTAACGCACATTATTCTGTTTACAAAATCTTACAATAAAACATTTCCCCGAGTGTTATCTAAAATTACATCCATTTCTCTTCAATTAAATTATTTGCACTTGAATGCTACATGGTGAAAACATCCAGTGCTAAAAAGCTTCTGACAATCCAGTGTGTGTGCTTCAGACTTCTTAATAATCTCTCAGTTTAGCTTTCTTCTTCTATTAAGGAGTTACTCTTTGCAAAACAAGTTTTCGTCTTCCTCAATAACTCATGCTTCGCTTCTGGGCACCAAGTGCAAAGTCTGGGGAAGTCTGGCTGTGTTCTGTCACATGCAGTTTTTGGGTCTCTTCTCTGTCCTTAGCTGTTGTCCACTCAAGCCAATCCAAAGGCACACTTACTGCTATGAATTCCAGGGGAGGAAAGGCGCTTTTCAACTTCCTCCCCTAGATATTCAATGCTTCCAGGCTTTTGTAGCCTCTTTGATATTTTGAGTGGCGATTAGAAAGCTAGATAGTCAGCTGGTCTGTCAAAGATAAAGTAGTTAGACTTCCTTGATTCTTTGGGGGCTCTTTTAAAAAAGACAAATTGAATAGATAGCAATAGCACTTGAACTTTCCTTTTACTTTCTCCGTGCAAACACCAACACCACTCTAAATTTTCAAGCTACTTACTACTCACCAAAAGGACTCTCTCTCCCCCCGCTCTGTTCCCCTCACTTCTGTCCCCTGCTCTCTCTCCCAGCTCTCACTTACGCCTCTGTATCTTTTGTCACAACATACATACATGTGGTCAAAGTGACTTGATTAGCTAGAGAAGATTAATGATTGTAAAACATCATCTTGAAAGTGAATATCCTCTTGCTTTTGTAATTTTTAAGTTGTGTTCAGTTGCTTATTCCTAAGCCAGGACATGGTGTATTTTAAAAACATTTCTTTAGTAATTCATCCGTTCAACGAAAATTAATGGTTATCCACTATGGGAAAATACTATACTAGACCTTCCATATAAAAATGAGAATTATTGTTCTCTTTGAAATAGGGTAACATCAGGAAAGAGAATTTTACTTCTAAAGAGGTAATTTATATCCCGCTATATCAAATGATAATCAAGACGTGTCTCTGTTGTATATCAGAGTCGTGAGATCAAGAATGTGATTTCTCATGGAAAGTCCATGCAATGAAGAGAATGTTTTATGAAATTAATTGTAATAGAAATTTGACCTATATTATGGTTGAATTGAGGAGAAATTTGTTTTGAGTGTCTTGATTAAATGCTGAAATGCAGTGAATTATTAACATCCTCTGTGTTTATCTTTCTAGGCAGCCAACAACTATAGGAATACCTTCCCTGCCAGTCCACCGTCAGATGGTGCAGGAGAGGACATTTATGTCAACCACCCAACCTTCTCTCGTGTACCCAGGGCTAGAGTCTAAGCCCATCATAGGAGAATGTAGATGATAACTATTATGTACATGGATCGTTGTACAGTTTCTTCCCACTATTTAATGTCTACCTTGGATACTGATTGATCAAATTTATTTCATTCGACAAGAAAAATACTGCCTAACCATGGAGAGCATTCTTAACAGATATGTTTTAGAAAACCTGACTCTAATTAGCTTATACATAAAAGGAAACATTGAATCATATAATGGGACAATCCAGGGAAGATCAAGCTTCAGGGAAGGGTTATTTGCCAGGGCTTAAAGATTATGTCCAGAATTAAGAATGGACAAAAGACAGTTTCTGGATCCCCTTTCACAGCATTGGATCTACTTCCCTTGATGTTAGCCTCACTCTCCTTCAGGCTTTCTGCTTGTGTTTCCAAGATGATTGCCGACAACTCTCAGCAAGTCATAATCCTTGCTTCTGCCTGGTAGAGAGCAAGCACATTTGATGACTTGGCCATCGTTAAGCAGTCATCATGGCCAGAAAGGAAATCAACCCTGAATATTCATTGGAAGGACTGATGCTGAAGCTGAAGCTCCAGTACTTTGGGCACCTGATGGGAAGAGCTGACTCATTGGAAAAGACCCTGATGCTGGGAAAGATTGAGGGCAAAAGGCAAGGGGGGCAACAGAGGTTAAGATGGTTAGATAGTATCACTGACCCAGTAGACATGAATTTGAGCAAGCTCAAGGAGACCGTTAAGAACAGAGGAGCCTAGCGTGCTATAGTCCATGGGGTCACAAAAAGTCGGACATGACTTCGCAACTGAACAACCATAGCAACGGCATGGCCAAAAAGGGTGAATGGGCTAAGTCAGTTTAGGGCTCGCCTCTAGAGCTGTGCAGTAGCGGGGCCCAAGTCCGTTCCTGGGAAGGAGAGGGGAGGAGGCTGAGGAGGGTGTAAGGAGGAGGAAACGGGATCAAAGAGCAGGAAGGTACAGAAAAACTCCTTTTGCTTCAAAGTTTTGACCAGGTATGCAGTTTGGCCTCATGCTATGACTCACAGAGCAATTAGACCATGCCTGTCATTGTCCAAATTCTAGATGGAAGCAACAATGAAAAGTATTTGTGAAACTCAGTAACGGTCATGGTCACCTTGAAACCACAGTGATTTGGTAATGACCAAATACAGTGGTCATTCCAATGTCATGTCCTCATTACTCATCTTTAAAAGACCCTCATTTCTAAAAGATTCATCTCAAAGATTCATTTAGGTTTCAAAGTTGGAGACTTGGCATGATAATCTGAAATGAACCCAAAGCAAATTCTCACATTGTCTAGACAGATTCTTAAGCTGTAATTTACAGTTTTAGCAAGACAGTGGATATGTTGTGGTTTTATCTTTAAATACCACGCACACCAAATAGTGCAATTATTCTGTGAATTATGGAAACTGTGAGTGCCCCCAACTGTTTGAGAAGGGAAAGAATGAAAATGACCACTCCCACTTGTACTATGTATGTGCAAGGAGAGTTAGCTGTCATTTTTATTTGCTTATAGATACTTATATCTAGATTCAAGAAGTGTTTCCACATTTGTAACAATGTGGGCAGGCAGTTTTACAAGAAAATCATCTACTGTTTTGTTAACTAGATCAGATCTATGAAAGTGTCTGACTCTATCTGTTTGCATGGTAAATCTAACTTGGCATCCTTTAAAAGATAAATGACTTCTTCTTCCTAAAAGTTAATCAAAATATTACTTTCTGGGAGATTCTGATAACCAATCCTCAATGACTGAATGACATAGGTGAGAAGTAAAAAATTTCTACCATGGCAACATGATTTCAGGGAGGATTTTTATGTAATCCACTTAATGTGTGGTTTATGGAAACCGCAATATTTGAAATTTGTCTCTTCTTCCATGGATGTTTTAAACTTTTTAAAAAACGTCTCTCAAAACAGTTATGGGAATTATTTACTCTGTCCCTTCTTTTCTAAATTCTTCATCTCCAGGGTTCAGAATTTTTAGGGACTTGGAACCTTCTTAAGTCCTGCTGAAATTTCTCCAACCTCCTGTGTAGATCCTGCCACACTGTCAGCTCTTATGCCGTTGAAACTCTTCATTCATTTCCTTTGGACATCTTTACTTAACAAAGCACTTTCATTGTAGTCTCTTTAATATTATACCTAACTTGCTAGAATTGTCAACTGTACCTAATATATTAGGGTTGACAATTATGCCTACTGTATATGTATACAATATATGGTATCCATAGTAGGTATATGATATATATAGTTTGTATATATATGTACACACACTAGCGCACACACACATATATGTATATTTCCCTAACATATTGTACCTGTATTCCAGTTGTTACTAAGGAAACAGGTCCACAGCATGAAAGGTCAGAATTGAATTAAATTATGTGTTAAATCTTTTCTGCAAGGTGCTATTTAGGAAACAAATACTTCCTAAGGTTCTTTTTTCCATACATAATTTTTATTGGTACTATATTAAATAAGATCTGTGTTTTCTTTGAATGCCATTCTTTTAGTATCTGCATTAAAGTAACCAATTACAGGGAGTTACTGTGTGGTGACTAGGTAAGTTTGTTAAATGCCATCATAGAGTATACAGTTTTGTCAGGGGGAGAAGACATCTTATTAGCCTACAATGATTAGGTATTGATTATATTATCATCAGAGAGATCTTGAATATTATTTAAAAACCTTTATGCACACTGGGAAAATAGAATAGGAATTTCATTAACTTGAAATCATGCTTATAAATGGGAGGCAGGTGGATGAGGTTATAATTTGTAGCTAGTAAATATTCATACTTATAGAATTTTTAAGTAATTAGGCTTATTACTAAAATATACATATACATTTAAAATGTATTATCCATTTATGCAGAATGAAATAAAAATAATTTTTATTGTAAACAACCAAATTATGTTTGTTTATCTAAAACTGTATTAAATAAAAAGTCCAGCTGCATTGCAGTATTTTTCTAATTTGGTAGAGTCCACATTGAGATTAGAAGTCACTGTAATCAAAGCGCTTCTCCTTGATTTTTAATAATATGCTGTGTTTTGTATCACTTGTATGAATTTCAGCAAGATTGAAGATATTGTAGAATACAGATGCTTATAAAGTATGGGTGGAAGTGCTGAATTGTGAATACAACGTTAAGCTTTTTTCCACAATAATGATAAGAAAATATCTTTGAAAAATATAAAACAATATAAACACATATTACCATTGTTTTATTATCATTAGTTAAGTCATCGTTAGAATGTCTAGAAAGTATTGACCTTCATATTTAGGCTTTTTGCAAAAATTAGTATACTTTTCCACTGATCTGTCACTGGATTATTCTAAATCGAGTCTCTAAGTTCTTATGCGTTTTTCTTTTGCTAGTCATCCAATAGGTGGAACTGTAGCTTCTAGAATTAACTGCAATGCTTTCTAAAATTATTTTTTACAAATCTTCAAGGTTGGTTTATGTATTTTACTGTCCCAGGTTTAAAGCACTAACTATGTTGTAAGAAAAGATCTGATTTGTGGGTATGGGTAATAAATGTCTGAAATGATCCTCATTTATTGTCTGTTTTCCCTGCTGGAATGATGTTATATAGTCACGCTCTTTAGAACATTTTTTTTTTCCAGTTTTATGTGTAATCTTAGACTCAGGTTTTGTAGGACATGGAAATGTTTACCTTGATATACTATATTCTGTTGTTTGAAGGAATAAAATGTAGAGCTCCACTATCATTAGTTTCACTTATCAGAGAATATTAGGGGAAAATTCCTGATAATATTAACATGAAGGTTAAATGCAGAAAAAAATCAAATGAGTGACACGTTGTAGCTTCTATCTCAAGCATTTAGTGTGTTTAGTAAGTGCATGTGGTTCAAAGAGTTGCAGTGTGCTGTACAAAGGTCATTCTGACAAACAAACAAACAAACAAACAAAAAACCTGTCCGTCCGATTTTACAGCCATTGAGACAAAAGATTTCACTTCTGATGATTTTATTTTCTGCTGTTAGAGGGGTTTGTTTGGCTGCCCCCGGTGTTCGTTGCATCGTGCGGGGTCTTAGTTCCCTGACCGGGGACTGAACCCAGACGCCCTGCGCTGGGGGCATGGCATCATCGCCACTGGACCACCGGGGAAGCCCCTCTGCTTTTCTGAGTCATGTACACATACACTACCAGATGCTTTTCCATTCTAGACATCCTTTGTTGATTTCGACATCGTCTTTTCTACAAACTCACCACACACACATACCCCTTTGTCATGTATCCATCCTTCCAAAATACTTACATTAAAGTTTTGATTATTTCAATATTTGGTGTTTATTTTTTAATGATCTTGCCAATGCTCTTCTTGGTTGAATACCATGGTGAAAATGATTGTTCATTCTCTCCAGAGTTAATATCTTTTTTTCTGTCTATCATTAACAATTGTCTCTTTTCCTAGTTTACTGTTTTGGTATTTACAATAACTTTACCTCAGACTCTTCACCAGTGGTCTAAAGGATCTCTCCAGACCCTCTGAGACACAGCGGATATTTAGACAATCTCGCCTTCCTAGACCAGAACCTTGACCTGGGCTGATAAGCAGTGCTTACAAGCCCAAGTTAGGACTGCATAACTGTCATCCCGATGTCTCTCTTCATCCAGAAAAATAGTGGAGAGAGGACCATACAAGCTGGAATTGATTCTAAAAAATTTCCCAGTATAAAAAGATATGAGGTGGTAGATTACAGATTCTTAATCAGTGCCCAGAACATGGCACGATAAGAAGCCTGTTATGTTTGGGTTTGTGTCTATAAAAGTTGAGGGTGTTGGTTTTAAGCATTAGAAGCCGATGCTGACTGTGTTATAGGAAAAAAAAACAACCCACAAAAACCAGTTAATTTATGTGAGTGATACAGGTGACTCATAGCAGTTCCAGGATGTTGATGGAATAAGTTTAGAAAACAGAAAATAAGTGGCAACCCTAGGGGTCCACAAGCAGGAAACCACTTTGAGCTCTGATAACTTTCTTTATTCACTCTTCAAAATTTGATCTCAACTGATTCTGTATTTTTCTGCAAATTCAGTCTTAAGATGATCTCCTTCTTATTAATCATTATTAATCTTTATTAATATCTTATTAATCATTAATCATTAATACTTAACAGCATTTATTCCAGATATTAAAAAATGCTTATAGTGAATAAGACCATTATCCTTTAAGGGCTTCCCTGATAGCTCAGTTGGTATAGAATCCGCCTGCAAGGCAGGAGACCCCAGTTCGATTCCTGGGTCTGGAAGATCTGCTGGAGAAGGATTAGGCTACACACTCCAGTATTCTTGGGCTTCCATTGTGGCTCAGCTGGTAAAGAATCTGCCTGCAGCGCTGGAGACCTGGGTTTGATCCCTGGGTTGGCAAGATCCCCTGGAGAAGGGAAAGGCTACCCATTGCAGTATTCTGGCCTACAGAATTCCATGGACTGTATTTTTTAATGAATAAGGCCATTACCCTTTAATCTCATGACTGAATAAGACTGAACTCTCCAATTTACTCTCAATATTATTAAAATTTCTT